TCAGTCACACGTATACACATATACACGCAAAGCGGTTTGTCCTTTTTAGGCGAGTTTTTACAAAATCATCTTGTTAAAATTATCGATTTCGATATATATGTATGTCGAAATCGATTACTAATTGTCATAACGAGTTCTTTTTCTGCCTTTGGATTTCAGATTATTTTATGAATCTAAGTACCACCGTTATGCTGTTGTTACTGATCTCTTATATGGGCAGGGAGATCAAACGTGTATTTTCTTGAGATGGATCAGCTGGTCAGTTGTACAAGTCCAGGGGAATCTAAAAAATGAGACTCCCTATTCCAAAGCTCAAATAGGGAACTAATAAAATTTATTTAATTAAATTTTTTTTTGTTTAAAAGAAAATTTCAAGCTCTAATTGAGCTGCTTTCATGAATTTGATTATAGCAAACACCATTTTATAATTTAAATTTCCAATTACATAATCAATCGAGAAAGGGTCTTGCAATTTCATTTTTCGCAATGAATCAATCATGGATTTCCTGGAGTTGTCCATAAGAGGGCAACTCCAGAAAATATGGTTAATATCCTGAACCGTGCCACATTTACAGTCAGGAGAACCCAATACCCCACATTTATACCTTCTCTCATTGGTCTATTCCAACCCGGTAATTAATCTTGTTAGTAATCCAGACTCCACTCTCCCCAATGAAAATTTCTTGATAAAATTTATGTTGAGATTTTGAAAAAATTTAATGAATCGGTTACTTTCACTAACTTTCAAGGAATCTAGATAGTTAATGTCGATTTGTTTGTACACTTCGATGCAATTCAGAAGAACCTCTGAAAATAAAATCTTATTGAAAATCTTAGTACCATATTGAGAAGCGTGATTCGCAGCCCTGTCGGCTTCCTCGTTGCCTTGGATACCTCTGTGTGCCGGACACCACGTGAAACGTATTGATCTATTATTGGTTAGAAAGTAACAAATTTTATTGTACAGGTCTCTAATCATTGGATTGAGATTCCAAAAATGAGATTTTCTACTACAAATAGGTTCTGAACAGAAGTCCAAAGCTATTAAGATACTAAGAGAATCTGTACAGA